AAGAGAAATTCTTATGCTCTTTGTCAAACCAAGAAGCTTCTAGCACTTGGATGAAAAACAGGTGCATTATCAGAGGGCAGTGTTAGTCAGCTCATATAAAAGTGTTCCTGTTACAATGAAATCGTGTACCTTTCTTTTAACAATAGCTGTAATCTCATTACTCTCATAACACAAGAAATTTTTCTTTGCCAAATTTTCATTGTTTAGGCTAGTGAGAAAAGATTAGAAACTTTCTGTGTGGTAATATAATACATTATCTAGATTTTTTTCCTTGATTGAAATAATTTATATGGAGTAAAAAAATTATTGTTTCATTGCAGTTCTCAAACCTACAGAGGCACCAACTCCACCACCTACACCTCCTCCACCTCCCACAATCCCTCCAGCTCGGGATGGTATGTTTATTTGTAGAATTATTCAGTATTTCTGCATCGTTGCTGCACTGGTTCAGAGTTTAATTCTTTTTTTTTTTTTTTCATAAATTTAAATAGATTTAAAACTAGCATAGCATTTTAGGGAATTGAAGTTTGAGACCAGTTTCCTAATGCCATCCATTTGGTCTTAAGTCATCTGCTTACTAGACTTCAACATTTCCTGGTTTAGAACAGCAAGGTGCATACTTTTGGGGAAAAAATTAATGATATTCTATAGGTCTGCAGCAAGTCTGTGAGTCTCTCTGCCCTCAGACAGACATATGATTTATGTTAGCTGCTCAGAAAAAAAAAAGTAATTTAAAACATTTACATTTGATTCTTGAGCTCTTCCTCATTTCCTGAACTTTTCTTTGAAAATTTTTAATAAATGTTTTTGTGATGGACATTAGCCATCTGCCAGGCTGACTGCATGGTAATAGAAGTTTGCTGAATATTTGTCATTCTTGAATTTTCAGATTTTGAAGCAGTTCTCTATTTCACAGTGGTAAGATTGATGTGTTTTAAGTGTTCCTTTTCTTGGTCTTTCAGTATGCAGGGGTGCCAAAGCAGACATAGTATTCTTAACTGATGCTTCCTGGAGTATTGGTGATGATAACTTCAACAAAGTAGTGAAGTTTGTTTTTAATACAGTAGGAGCCTTTGACTTGATTAATCCTGCTGGAATACAGGTAGGTTTGTTGCTTCCACTGGGTACATTTTGGAGGGAAACTGAAGATGAAGCTGAATTACTAAAGTTACATCTGATTTTTCCTCTTTCGGAATGCTTCATTTTTGGTATTATATTGTTTTACAGCATGTGTATGTGTGTGTGTGTGCAATTATTTATGAAAAATATTGGTCATATCTGTGTATGTAAATATGTATGTGGTGCATAATCATACATAAATGAAAAAAGATTTTTAAATTATTTAATGCTTACTAATATACCACAGTACATATTTCAATGGAGAGAGTTGATCTGAATGGAGGTATGAGACTGAACACTGTGATATATTCTATTTCAGGTTTCATTTGTCCAGTACAGTGATGAGGCAAAATCTGAATTTAAACTGAATACGTTTGATGACAAAGCCCAGGCCTTGGGAGCTCTTCAAAATATTCAGTACAGAGGAGGAAACACAAGGACAGGTAATTCTGAGAAGCAGTTATGTTTCTTTAAGAAAAAATATTTTCAGAAACTGCCTCATTATCCTAATATTGCATGGCTGAAGAATTAGGTTTTTATGTTCTTCTGTTTTAGCTGTGTGGCTGTTGCCATTTGAAAGTAAAGTAAGGAATTTCTTCTCTTGTGGATAGTACGGCTGACTCCCTGTTCATTGTGCACTTTGCAGGCAAAGCCCTAACATTTATCAAAGAAAAGGTTTTGACTTGGGAGAGTGGCATGAGGCGAGGTGTTCCCAAGGTACTTGTTGTTGTCACAGATGGTCGGTCCCAGGACGAGGTGAGGAAAGCGGCAACAGTCATACAGCACTCTGGTAAGCAGTTCACAGTACCTGGCTGTTTCATTTCCTTATGCGTTAAGCAATGCAATTGTAAGTGGTGCTCCAAATATCCGGGAATCCTTTAATCATTTATGGACTTAGAAACGTATTCTGAGTATTTGGGCAAACCTCAAAAATATTTAAAGAGTTTAGACTCTCTGGGCCAGACTTTTTCTTTCTCTAGCCTTCTCTCTGGGGAAGGATGTGGCTTTCCAAGGCTTTCAAGTAATTCCTTGTGCATATCATTTCATGGACATGAGTTTTGGTTGCTTCTTTCTCTCCGTTCTGCGTGGACTCCAGGGATCATTGTGAAAAGTACTCCGTTCTAGTGCTCTTGATGTAATGGGCCTGGCTTTTTGACCTTTATGTTTACCTGGTATAAACCAGTGGATTTCCAGTTAAAGTAACTGCTTTTGGTGGAGCTAGATCTGAACTGACTCCTGCATTGCCTTTTGAGCTGAGAAGCTTTGCATTCCTCTTCAGATTTGCTGAAGGTGGCTTATGTGAATCTAATAATCTATTGCTGTCCCTGCACCCAGCAGTTTTGCATTTCAGCACATGAACCACCTGGAGTCCTGTTCCCTGAGTAAGGAGATGTACTTCCTTACAGAAATCACTGGCATGTAGACCAGAAGTGGTCATCTTCTCTGCCTCTGTGATCTGAAGGAATCAGCTCTGTTTAGATGGTTTCTAAAGATGTTTGGCTATCGTATTCATAAAAATCTCTACAGTCTCCCTGTAGATAATCTGCTTCAGTGCTTAACTAATCTAATAGTTGGAAAGCTGTGCTTCACATTTCACCTAAGTGTTTCTTCAGGCTAATGAAACTGTTGTCTTCTTTTCAGTTACCTTGTTAACCAGGAAAGCAGTTGATCACTGCCCACTGTAACGGGCCTTC